GCAGACCATGGACGAGATGATCTCTAGAGTTTTGGGTTCTGGCATATCAGTTCAGGGGCCTGACTTGTGGCCACGGAGCCCAGAGGGACCAGGACATTGAAAAGCCAACTAACTGTAATGAGATTGTTGCCATAGCCTTTGATGACTGCAGCATCTGTGGTCAGAGAGTTAACCCTGGCACTGCTCCTTGACTTAGTTGCTCGTGCGGCTTCAAATGGACCTGTTCTTTCAGAACAGGTGAGCCTTTCAGATCCCATGCTCCAGCATGCTATACTCTTCTCTCCTGGACCCCAGTTCAGCACCCTAGGCTCTTCCCACACATGTGATATGAATTCAGTTCCTGGATGACTTGGCAATTCATCTGTACCAGCCTGCTACAAGAAGCTGCCACTAAGCTTTCTCGACCTGATCGGGGAATGTGGTATGATGTGCAGTGCTGGGTTGGGGGAATCCATGCTCACCAAAGAGTGACAAGGTGTAATCACCACAGACAAAAGCAGTTTTGTATGAAGGGAGCTGAAACGCGTCACTCTTGGGAGCCTCTGACATGTTGCCTTTGGAAGTAGAAGAGGTGCCTCTCACCGCAGCCAGTGTCCCCTGTCCAGAAGTAAGGACACTTGTCTTCTCTCATACCCAGGGATACAAGGGAACAAAAGTTTTCTCTGTATTCCAACAGACCCCAGGATACTTCATGGAACAGATGTCTCACACCTCCAGTTCCCTTTTGTTTTCTTCGCCTCGTTTATTTGGTGTTTTGCATTCCAGCTGTACTGTTTGCCCTGTGACCTCAGACAAGTGATTTAACTACTCTGAACCTCAGTTTTCTCATCTGGAAGATGTCCCTATTAATAGCACGCACCTTGAAATATTCTTATGAGGATTAAATGAGACAATGCACATGAAGGCATTCTGGCCTAACGCCTCACACCTCATAACCACCTAATTACTGCCCAATGATATTACTATTACTCTGCACTGGGTTTGGTGCACACATTATCATGTTGAACTCTTAATCACAGCCCCATGAGGCAGGGACTAGTATGATCTTCGTCTCACAGATGTGGAAACCAAGGTCCCAAAGTGCTTATGTGACTTGTCCAAGGGCAAATAGAAAACAAATTAGTGGAACTGGGACATAAACCCAGGTCTATTGGATGCCAAAGTTCCAGCTCTTAATCACTTTACTCCCCTATCCAAGGTCACAGCAGCAGCTATTAAAGGATGGAAACAGGATTGGAATCCAAGTTGGCTTTCGACTCCTTGGCAGACCCAGCCCTGCCCAGGAGGCAGGGAAGACCAGCCTACAGGGCACCTCTGTAGGATTGAGGACTCCTTTCCGACTTCCCTCCCCTCTCTGACCTCTGCCTCACTCCGTACCCCAATCGCATTCCATTTTCTGCTGTAATTTCCTTCAGGCTAACACGAAGCCTTCTGCAGCATTTCTTGTTTAATCTCAGTCTAGCGCAGAGAGAAAGACGCAAGCTCTGGCAGATAATAATGCCTTGAATACCAATGCCACTTACTCACGGAATGGCCTTGGCCATGTCAGAGGATCTCTCTCAGCCTCAGTTTCTTCATCTGTGAAGAGGATAACACCTCCCTTGGGTTGCTGTGAAGATCTGACTATAAGCAGAGTACCCAGCATGCTGCTTGGCCCATAGTAGGTAGTACTCTCTGAAAGGTGCTGTCACCATCCATGGCACCTTGCAGTGCTAGGTTATCCTTCACTTAGTTCAGCCACAGCACCAGTGTGGTGCCCTACAAGAAGCAGATGCTCCTGTGTATGTCTGGTTAGATCAGAAGCTGGAGAGAGACAGAGAAAGAGAACCAAGCAAAACCCTGTGATCGCACGTGACACATCTCCTACTAAGACATCCTAAGCATATCCCACAGTCTGCCAGCCTCAGTTTCCCCACCTGACAAATTCAGTGGCAGCTTCTCCTGAAAGGCTCCAAGCAATAGGAGTTTGCAGCATCAGAGGTTTCTAGTGTAATAAGATGGATAATGAAAAGATTCTTCTCGCCCAAGCCTTAAGTGAGTCAGAGCTGTGTGCTTGGCTTTGCCCCAGGGAGTACCAAGAAAATGAAATATCGTCTGTATCCTCATGACACCTAAACAAATGGTCTGTTCCATGGGTCAAAAACCAGCCAGAAGGGTTGAGGCATCTCCATGAGGGGAGGTAAAGAGGGCAAGAAAATGACCATCCACAAACATTGCCCAGGGAGTCCTGTACGTGGTTGCTATTACGGATAATGCCTACATGCTATGGCGGGAAGTTTGTTTTGCCTTTGCAAAAGGTGCTGGCAAATGACAACATGTCTGCAACCTGCAAGGATTCTGAACTTCTCTCTCCAGCTCCATAACCTCTTCCATATCAGACACCTGAATCAATGCACAAGTTCTCGCCTAAACAACAAACTCTACTCTTTCATAATAAAGAGAAACCAACTCTGAACTTCAGATTTGCTCCTTCTTTTCTTTCCCTCCTGGCCTTTTGCCACCATAGAAAAATGTCTGATAGGTTCAGTGTTAACACTGCAGCTGGTTGCTGTGATTATGTAGACACAGCCCCTGTAAATTCAATGGTGTGTTGCTGGCTGTTCAATAGCTGGTGAAATTAATGCCCAAGGAAGTGGGAAATGGGCCACACAATCGAACCGTGGACTTAGAACTTGCCCTCCATTGTGTCCCACCCTGGTCCTCTCCACATCCTTGCTTTTGCACTAATCATTAGCTTTGTGCCAGCTCCCTGGTCTTCTCTTCTCCAACCCTCTGTACCTTGGGCATAAAGCAATCCAACAAAAGCTTCCTCACCGCAGACTTGAAAAGGCCTGGACATGGTGGGAGTTGAGTGGATGACTCCCACTCCCACCTCTGACATGGAAGATGATGACAGAGGGCATCAGGGTTGCCTTCAGGGGCCACTTTAACTGCAAAGAAAGCTGACTGCCTGGAGCTACAGCATCTCAGGTGATCAACTGAGCCAGTACCTGTCCTCAGATTAGTACATAAGCCACCCAAGACCGAGAATAACCTCTCCTTTTCATTAAGAGCCCTGGGAGAGGGTGGTCCCAGTCTCACACTCCACTGTGAAAGTCACGAGTGGCTGTCATGGGACGCTTTCTCTGCAACAAGGGAAGAGCCCCACCCTATATACCAGAAGAGTGGGATTTGATAACCAGCAATGCTCCTGACCAGCTGTGACATCCTGCCAACTCCGTTTACCACTGCTCCAACTCCATAGTGGGCAAATAGGACAACTTGGCAAGCCAAGCATGGTGGCTCACATCTGTAATCTCAGCACTCAAGAAGCTGAGGCAGGAGGATCACCACAAGTTCAAGGTGAACCTAGGCTGTACGGTCAGTTCACGTCCAGTCTGGACTACATGATAAGACTACATGTGTCAAAACAAACAAAGCAAGCAAGAATTTAGCTTGGGTTCTGAAAGCCCTTGAATATCTGCTATGAACTACAAATCTCTTATTTTAAAAATCTTCAAGTAAAACCTAGGCCAGAAAAAAATTTGTTTTCAGAGAAGTATCCATCACAGATTTTTTTTTAACTTTAGGAAAATTCCTTGAAATTACATATTTTGTGCTTTTGGGCAGTCTGCATTCTAGTGGAAGAAACTTAAAATTTCAGGTGTGTGATGACCACCTGCCCTCTCTCTGAAAAATAAAAGTAAAAATATATTAAGAAGAAATAATGTAAACCAGAGTGGCATCTGCTTTCCTCACCCCTTAATGCCAAGTTGTAATGATTATCAAGGACAGGAATTCAAAGCCTGAGACAAAGGCCTGTAGCCTCGAGTAATAGAAGGTGTCAGGCTTGACTTTTCTGAGTCTCCAGATGCCACCACCCCTGGCTCCACCAAATGTCACGATCCACATGACCTCAGGAATCTACTCTCTATAAGCCACCATTTCTCATTTGTTCATAGAAAATGATTATGCCCTTCTCAAAGAAATTGTATGAACCAAAGGAAATAAGTAAGTGTTTGACAATCTGCAGGAACTCAATATATTCCTTCCCAGTACCAGAAGCTCGGCCCCCCAAATTTACCATGTAGCACACAGCTGCAATTACAAGTCACTGTAGCAATCCCACCGGCCCCACCTTGCCCAGGGGGAAAGTGAGAGGTGGTCGCCAAGTGCTCACCTTTGGGACAGACTCCACAGTGGTTCGAGGCCCAGCTCCTCTCTGACAGCTATGTGAACCTGAGGAAAAGAATTCAATTTCATAGAAACGGGTGTCCTATCCACGAAAAGAAAAATGAGGGGGAGAAGAGTTCTTCTCTCATAGGCTCAAGAAAAGAGGCAGTAAGAACTCAGTACATTCTTTAAGACAATACGTGCAGGGTGACATGTAACATAGGGCCGTTCCTTGGCCTTTGGGGGGAGGGCTCATACTTTCTTTAGGTACCATTGATTCACCTCTGGAGAGTATGTCCCTGCATCTGCGTATCCAACGTGAATATAAGCAGAAAGGAGAAAAGATCAACAGACAGTCAAGAGCCCCTCAATCCCTTCCCCAGATGTTTTGGGCTCTCTCCCCTGTTCCCACTATAACCAAACAGCTTCTCTTCTCTTCCCTCCCTCTCTTCCTTTCTTCCTTCTTTCCTTCCTAACTCAGTGCTTCAGTGACATCCATTACATTTTCAACCCCTTCCCATGCTGCAATGCACTTCCCTCTCCTCGCGTTTTTTCCCCAAACACCTGTCATCAGACGGCATGCTTCATAATTTGCTTATTTACGTGTTTACTGCCCATCTCCTCACTAAAATACAAGCTCCTAGGGTGCAGGAGTCCTGCCTATTTGTTCAAGCGCTGCACCTACAAAGCTCAGAATGAATGCACGCAGGGGTGAATGAGTGGAGAAAAGGACTAATAGATTTTTATCAGACCAAAGAGGTTGAGTCAGGGAGATAAAGGATGAAGGCTGGCTCGATGCGATTCAAGACACTACCACCTGCTTAACCGTGGAATTCTCCCTCTTTCAGGGACCAGACAAGGGACAAGCATCCCGCACGGACTCTGAGACCTGACTCCAGGAGCCCTGGTCAGAGGTAAGGACCCCCAGAGGGACTAGGAGGGGAAGACACCCCGGAGGGCCACCTCCGGCAGGGGGATCCCCGCTGCTCTCGGTCCTCCCTCCCCGCACCCCACCCCCGCA